AAAGATATGGGAGTGATTGGGATCTACATGTCCACACCCTCTCCAGCATTTCTGTTGTTGCCTAAGTTGTTTTGATTTTATATATGGGGTGATAAAAAAACGAATTAGATTTTTCCATCCAAATTCTCGCCATCTTCTTGAGCTGGTTGAAGATTGTTGTGTTTTACACATGGAGGACCAGTCACTCCCAGTTAATGTAATGTTGAATTCTTGTTCCCACTTTTCTTTAACATAGAATGAATTTCTGCCATCGCATTTTTGGAGACTATTATACAACTTTGATACAATTTTTGAGGGAGTTCCACCATATGCACGTGTCAAGATTATAATCACCTCACTAATTCCTTCTGATAGGTCCCTGTTAACCTCTTTGTCGTAAAAGTGACGCAATTGTAGGTAGCGATATAGGTCTCTGTTTTCAAGATTGAATTCTTCTTTAACTTTTTCAAATGATTTAAATATTTTCCCTTCAGTGAGTGTACATATTGCCGTAATTCCCCTCTCCATCCACCTGATAAATGTATCATCTGACCCACTGGGGCCAAAACTGGGCATTTGAGATGGCCATATTAATAATTTACTATCACCTTCAATTTTGTTTTTCTTAACGACCTCATACCATGTTTTCAAAGTTTCGCCCAGAATAGTTCCCTCCTCTTTACTATCTGTTAAAATTTTACACCCCAATTTTGCAGGGGGTGGTATTTTACCAAGATTGAATTCGATTTGCTTCCACTTTGCGCTATATGTTGGAGAACACCAATAAACAACGTATCTCAGTTGGGCCGCCCAGTAGTATTTTTTAAGGTCAGGTAAAGCAAGTCCTCCTTTTTCCTTTTCTAACTGGAGTGTTCTGAGTCTTACCCTAGGTTTAATACCCGCCCAGATAAATCTAGATAAGACCTTATTCCATGTAGAAAATTGGGTTTCTGGGATCCTTATGGGGAGGGAGAGGAAGACATATAATAATCTAGGCAGCAAATTCATTTTTATCACCTCTATTCTTGTGCTAAAATCTAAGGCCAACATTGACCAACGTGTTACATCTTTCTGAATTTGATCACTTAGAATACCATAGTTTGACTCATATAGGTCTTTTAGATGTTGGGTGATATTCACACCTAAGTATTTTATTGATTTTGTGTCCCATTTAAGTTTATAATTACTCCTCATATTACTGCTAGGTGTATAATTCAGACATAGTACCTGTGTCTTTTTAATATTGAGTTTATATCCTGACATCTCACCAAAATTTTCCATAATGGAAAAAAGTTTAGGGATTATTATGTTTGGGTTCTTTAAGTAAGTGATAATATCGTCAGCAAACAGGCTTATTCTATGTTCCTCTGTTGCTATGTTGATCCCCTCCAAATGATCATTTTGTCTAATATCCTGAGCCAATGGCTCAATGAATAATGCAAAGAGGGAAGGACTAAGACAACAGCCTTGTCTTGTACCTCTTTTAAGGTTAAAGCTACCAGACAATGAGCCATTAATCCGCAACCTGGCTGTAGGATCCCCATAAAGAGCTTTAATACAGCTAATAATTTGATCATTGAAGCCAAATGTCTCCAGCACTTTATAAAGAAAAGGCCAGCTAACTCTATCAAACGCCTTCTCTGCATCAAGGCTAAGCAACACTGCACTGAGCTTTTTTTTGTGTATTTGATCTATGACATGCAGTGTGCGTCTGATATTATCTTGGGTTTGCCTGCCCTTTATGAATCCAGTTTGGTCTTCATTTATTAGCTCAGGGAGGATATGCTCCAACCTTTTAGAGATTATTGATGTGAATATCTTGTAATCTACATTTAGTATGGAGATGGGGCGATAAGATTCGCATAGTGTTTTATCTTTGTCTTCTTTTGGTATCACTGATATCACTGCTTCTTTCCATGACGGGGGTACTTTGGCGTATTTGAGAGTCCAATTCAGAGATTCAAGTAGAGTGGGCGTAAGGTCCTCCTTGAAGACCCTGTACCACTCATTTGGAAAGCCATCGCTCCCTGGGCACTTATTATTTTTCAAATTACTAATGGCTTTATCCAGTTCTTCCTTTGTAATCGGAGTGGTCAAAGACTCATTTTGGACCTGTCCAATGGAGGGAAGATCCAAGGATAATAAATATTTTTTGATCATCACTTCATCTACAGGGTCTGGATTAGAGTATAGTGTCATATAGTATTTTTTGAAGCAGTTTTCTATTTCTTCAGGTTTAAAAGTCAAATCTTTACTCAGTGGGTCCCTAATCTTCGATATACAATTTTTAGTTTGTTGTATTTTCAGGCGTCTTGCTAGAATCTTTGTTGCTTTCGGACCTGATTCATAAGTGGTTTGTTTAGCATATCTAAGTTTCCTTTCTAATTCATCTGACAGTGTTGCATCTATTTGTTTTCTGACATCCTTCAATTGTTCTGTTAGCCTCATATTATTAGCTGTTTGTTGTTGTTTTTCTAACTTTTTCAGTTCTTCCTGTAGTTTTTCATATTTTAATCTCTTTGCCTTAGTTATGTATGCCATCCGTGAAATCAAGTTCCCTCTCATAGTGGCTTTAACTGTGTCCCATAATATTGTTGGGTCAACCTCACTATTTATATTATCTTTAATACAATTTCTAATTTCCCCTTTAATTTCATCCATAGTTGTTTTGTTATTCAAAATCCCAATATTCATTCTCCACAGTGTGTTTTTACGAGCACTATCTAAGTGTATAGTTAAATAAACCGCATTATGGTCAGAGACATCAGAGGTTCCTATTGTACATTCTATCACCCTATGTCTGTCCCCCGCACTCATCAGGAAATAATCTATTCTAGAATGAATCTGATGTGTAGCTGAAAAATGGGTAAAGTCTTTCTCTGAAGGGTGGAGATTCCTCCAGACATCAAACAGGTTATATTCTCTCAGTAAAACATTGAGGCATTTTGACATAGGCAGTTTATGCTGTTTTTTGCTTGTTGTGTCTAAGGAGTAGTCCAAGACTGTATTCCAGTCTCCTGCATAGACTATTATACCCTCACTGAATCCGACAATTTTTTCAAAGAGCTGTATAATAAAATTTTTTTCACATTCCGGAGGTACATAAACACAAGCAAATGTGATTAATATGTTATCAAGTCTTCCCTTAACTAAAATGTATCTGCCTTCCTTATCTCCTTCTTCCTTAATTAGGTCAAAATTCAGCGTGTTTGACATTAGAATAGCCACTCCCCTTTTTCTGCTATTTTTACAGGAGCTGTAAAAAGAGTTTGAATATCCAAACCTCCTTAGCTTATTATGTTCTTTATTAGACATATGCGTCTCCTGAAGCATTACAACCTCTGATTTATTCTTTTTTAATTTTCCCAACACCTTGCTTCTCTTAATTGGATTTCTTAGGCCATTTACATTCAAGGATGTGATCTTTAAATTACCTGGCTTTGGCATATAAAAACTTCTAATGAAACATTGGTCTCCCCCAGAAAAGTATGTACTTTCACAAACACAATGAAATAACATAAATAAACACAACAGAACAGTGACTCCCAAGAGTGGAAGAGATCTAACTCTTCCAGGTGGACCCAGTTGGAGGGTCGAGGGTATAGTCTCTCCTCTAGAGAGGGCCCAATACTAGAGATGGTAATCAATTTTAACAAAAGAAATAACACCATCCTATAAGTCCAACTTAATCAAGCTACGATTGCTATCTCTCCCCCTGATCAAAAAATGAGGTCAAATGATTAATTAGTTAACAGGCGAAGTCCGACAAGGAAAAAGCTACCTCACCAGAATGTAGTAAATTTACAAGAGAGCCTCAGCTGTTCTCCTCTGCGTCATCTCTCTGAAACCCCTTCAGTTTCTCCCTCGCTCTCTGCGCCGTAGAGTTACTCCTCTCCTGACGATCTGATCTCCGCTCCCATCCGAGAAGCTCCGACAGTGCGGCGTCCAGCGCATGTTCGCTGTCCCTCACCCGTGGCGGGTCCACTGAGATACCTCGTTTCTGTAGCTCTTTCCTTGCTGCTTCTGCGCTGCTGTAGGTCTTAACTCCAGTGTCCCAGTGGATCCTTATGCTTGTGAAAGGCGTCTGAAAGCGCACTCCTTTCTCCTTTAAAGCTTTCTTAACAGCGTTGAATTCTTTGCGCTTCTTAACAATCTCGGTCGCGTAGTCATGATCAAAGTAGAGAAGACGGTTGGCGTGCATTATTTTCCCCTTTTTCCAAGCCTCCCTCAGTATCAGCTCCTTGGTCATAAATTCCTGAAAATTAATAATAATTGGCCGTGGCGGATCTTCGGGGCGAGGTTTCTGCGCCAAGGAGCGATGTGCCCGTTGGATTTTCAGATCCACCTCTTTCAGGAGTGGCAGTTCACGTTTAAGTAGGGTCGTAATGAACTGGGAAACCGAGCTTCCCTCTTCTCCCTCTGTCAATCCAAACATCCGGATATTGTTTCTTCTAGATCGGGACTCCAGGTCCGTCACTTTGGCTTGGAGGGCCTTCTGTTGTTTAACTGAGGCAGAGATCACGGCATTTACCTCTGCTGCCCAGTCTTCCATGCGCCCCACACGAGTTTCCACTTCATTAATCCGGCCAGACAAGCTTTGAATGTCTTTTGTCAGGTTGTCAAGTTTGCCGTTGAGTTCTTGGCCCATAAGGTTGATTTCTTGACGTAGGGAACCGTTGTCCTTTGTCAGTTCAGACTTCAGGTCTTTAATCGCTGCCATTAGGTCACTTGAGTTCACGTCAGTCCCAAGCGTCGGGGCGTCCTCTGAGTTGATAGCGTTAGCTTTTGCCGAACTGCCTTTTTCTTGACTTTTTGGCATATTTTCTTTCCTCTTTTTGCCTCTTGTGAGTCTCTTCCCACTCATCAAACATATAAGCCACACAATTTTCAGTTAACGAGTTTTTGGTGGGGAAAAATAAATTTCTAATGGGGGAGCGATCGTAAGTGCGTCTGTCTAGTCCATGGGTGCGTGAATTGCTTTTAATGAACTATTTAAACCCCACTGTCTGGTCCTTGCAGCCATGCCGAATGAACACTCCCCTCTGATCACCTCTGGGGTGTGTGGACTGACCCTGACCACAGCATGCGGCACAGCGTCAGACTCCCCCCAGGAACCCAACGCCGGGAAACCGGCTCAGGACCCGCGGAGGCTGAACACCTTCTTTGGGGTGATGGTCCCGACCATCCTCTCCATGTTCAGCATCATATTGTTTCTGAGAACAGGTGTGTGGCGCAGCTTCAAAGACATGTAGAGGAATAAAGACGACTGTTGGGTGTTTGTGAAGAGTCTGCTGAGTCACTGTGACTCACAGCGGTGTGATCTCCATTTTGCAGGGTTTGTGGTGGGTCATGCAGGGTTGCTGCAGGGTCTTTTGATGTTGGTGGTTGCCTACACCATCATATCTCTCACAGTGCTCTCCATCTGTGCCATTTCAACTAACGGAGCTATTCAGGGCGGCGGAGCTTATTGTATCCTTACCAGTTATAAACATATGGTAATGTTTGAATGATTATTCCTAGATTTTTATTTTCTCCACATTCATATCCAGATAAATCAACCTTAATTAAACTGCTGTAGATATGATCAGTCGCTCTCTGGGACCTGAGTTTGGAGGGAGCATCGGTTTGATGTTCTTTTTTGCCAAAGTATTTGCATGTGGAGAGTACGTCCTGGGTCTTGTGGAGGCCATTCTAGATGTATTTGGAGCAGATCCTGGTAGGTTGAGTCCATGCTTCGGTCTTTTCACCCCTCAGACATCCATCTGAGCTTCAGTTTGTTTGATTTCTTTCAGAGTCCTCTGTGTCTGAAGGGTGGCGGGTGCTCCCTCAGGGTTACTGGTACACCGTTCTGTACTCCTCTGTGGTCCTCCTGCTGTGTCTCCTCGTGTGCCTGGTGGGCGCCCACATTTACTCTCGCACGGCCTTCGCCATCCTGCTGGTGGTCACCGTGTCGCTGTTGTCCGTCTTCATCAGCACCGTGGCGGTGAAAGCGAAAGACTTCGTCGTTGTCCACAAGGGGCCGGGTAACCAGACGCTCCGCTACAACGCCAGCTACACGGGTTTTAGCGCCACTACGCTGAGGAACAACCTGGGCTGTGAGTCAGGATTAGGAGCAATAATGATACTTCAGCTATTTTTTTCCCCAGGTTTTGACTTTGTTTTGGTGTTTTTTGTGTGCAGCTGGTTACTCTTTGGACTACAGCACCAACTCCGTCATGTCGTTTGCCACGGTGTTTGCAGTCATGTTCACCAGCTGCACCGGGATCATGGCTGGAGCCAATATGTCAGGTTACAGCTCGTCATCTTTTATTTTTCATATGTGGAAAATACAGCAAATCAAAAATGCTTTTCAAACTACATTGCGATTGTACTTTGTTTTTCCCTTATATTAACCACAAGCAGGTAGATGTTTCTTTGCTTTCATGACCTTGAAAGCTTTATTGTCCAGTCTTCTGTCCCAAGTATTTACTGTTATTGAACGGAAAAGTATTTACCTCTACTCAAATGCATGATTTTATGCAACCCTCTATATCCTTCTGTAAGGCGGCAGAACACTTTTGAGCATATTGCCGCCATCTATAGGGCCAAAGTGAGAAAGTCATTGTCAGACTTTTTTAGAATTAGATGTTTTTAAAAGATGTTGAGACAATATAGGTCAAATGTATATAAAAAAAAAGGAAAGATAGATAGAAGTTAGAAGATAGCTAGAAATGATTAAAAACTACAATTCAAGAACAGTTCCAAGAGCTGTAAAGAAACATAAAACAACAATATAAACATAAAGAAAACGGCATCCACAGTTGAATGGATAGGAATGAAAGGCTTGACTGAACAGGTATGTTTTTAGCTGACATTTAAAGACTGTTAGGTGAATAAGCGATCGTAGTTCAGGTTCTTAAAAAGCTTTCCACAATCTAGGAGCAACAACAGCAAAAGAAATAACAGCCCCATGTTTTGCACCTAGTCCTGGGGGCATACAGTTGTGATGAGCGGGCCCTGACAGTTAAGAGTTCACACAAATATGCTGGAGTGATTTATGTATGTATGGTGAACTCAAGCCAAAGCAATCTACTCAGCGGAGCAGCTTTTGGTCATAAAAATAAAAAAAGATTACTATCAGCCACTTCTTCCAGATCGAACCAAGAGTCTTGGCAGACAGGGATGCTGCACTAGCTGTGATCGGCTCAGTTATTTCATCCAGCAGGATTAGATGAAAACCTCTAATGGCCTTCTATTAGTAGCTATCTGATATTTTGTAATTCAATTTTTTGTAATTTATATTTAACGAGAAAAACTCATTCAGTTTCATTCAGTCTGGGAAAAAAAAGCTATGCCAAACTGTTGTGTCACGTGACCAAATGAACTAGTTTCATTGGCGAAAAGCTGCTCGAACACATCAAGTGTTGATTGCCCTGGCTTGAGTTCACCAAAAGGTCGATACATTTGCAGGCAAATTTTTTCCCAGCTGAATTTTTTGCAGGCAATTTCTTACCAGATTAAAATTAAATGTAAGGAATTCAATGTGTAAAAAAAAAAAATTCAGTGTTTAAAATACGGTGTACAAAAAAATGCAGATTCCAGTGAGACAGTTATTCTCCAATATTTACGGAACAGGACAGAACGAGAGTGGGCGAGCATCAGTGCGCCACTTAGTGGTAGGGAGGAGTAATAGCTATCACCTTTAAATGTAATGTGATTAAAATTGATCGCCTCTAATTTAAAAACGCCATTTTCTTTTCGATGAAATTGCAATGCAGTAATTTCTCAGCGCTGCTGTATAAACTTGTTTATAGATGTTTGTTCTTACTCCATCTTTGTCTGAAGGGGAGCTGAAGACTCCAAGTATTTCCATCCCTAAAGGCACCATCATAGCAGTCTTCTACACCTTCACTGTCTACGTCCTCCTCTTTATCTTGGTCAGCGCCACATGCAATAGGTGCAGCCACAGTCATACTTCATTATAGCCCAGCCTTAATTCAAGTAAATTTAGACAGATTTAATGTGTTTTATTTTCTTCATTTTTTTTAAGGACACTCTTGATTCAAGACTATGGGTTCCTACAGCGGATAAATATCTGGCCGCCGTTTGTCACTGTTGGAATATACTGTGCTTCTCTGTCAGCGGCAATGTGTGCTATGATCGGAGCTTCCCGCATCCTCCATGCGCTCGCTCTGGATCAGCTCTTTGGTAAGTCACATGATTATTCTTTGTCTTTCTGCTTTTTTTTTTTTTTTTAATCAGCTGCTTTAACAGAACACGTGGATTTATTTTTTTATACTCAGGGTTGCCCTTGGCCCCAGCGACAATCAAATCTAACTCTGGGAACCCATGGATTGCGGTGCTGTACACCTGGGGCCTGGCACAAGTAAGTACTGCATCTCTCTGTCTGTCTGTCTTTCTGTCTGTCTGTCTCCCCTCTTTTTGTTTATTTTTTTCCTTGTGGGAAAGTGACAACTCAGTTTGGTCGAAAATAAACAATATTAAAACAAAACAAAAAACTGATCTGTAGCAGCTCTAATTTGTAGTCAACAAACCTCATCAGAGCCTCCTATCAGAACATCAAGAAAAAAAGAAACTAATAATCACTAACAAACGCAAACAGAGACACAGCATCAAGGTAGAAGATATTGAAACTAAATGAATAAATACTCATAGGCTAAAAAGTTTCTTGTTGGTAAAAAACACCAATTAAATACATTCAAATGTTACTTCCCCAATGATGAGACCTGAAATGCATCTTATAGTAAGTTGTCTTTTGGATTTAGCAGCAATAGAAAACTCTGTATTCCCAATGCTGTCCCAGTACTATTCCTCTGAGAACCAAATATTTTTTGTGTTTCATGAAACTAGATTTCCGACTTTTCTTCATTATTTCATAACTTTGTTGGGAGGTGCTAACTGGCTTAGCCCCATTACTACCTAGTTTACCCATTGTTCATATGTACAGTACCATACCTCTGGTCACATGGTGTTATGGTAAATATGCACAGAAGGGTTTTATTAACTAACAAATCAAGGAAAAAATAATATCAAAAATATGCCAGCAGAATGCAGTAATCTTTCACAAAGTGTTTTATGCAACCAGACTGAGCTACCTCCATATAAATTTAAACCAAGTCCCTTTGAATTGCTGTTTGTTTTTTCCTTTTCAGTGTGTGGTGTTTGCAGGGCAGCTCAATGCTGTAGCAAGTCTGGTGACAGTTTTCTACCTGCTCGCCTACGCTGCTGTAGATCTGGCCTGTCTGGCTCTTGAGTGGGCGTCTGCACCAAACTTCAGGTGAAAACAACAGCTTCTCTCAAACTGTTTCTCTAACTCTAAGACAACCCGGAATGATTAATGATCCAGATTCTCAGTTCTTACTGTAATACATTCATGTGTGCAAATATAATGTCTGTGAAGGCAGCAAAGGCTGAACTGCAAAGCATGGATTCACACCCTGCTGCTCACGGCTGAGAGGGACTGCCTTTGATGTTTAAACTAGATGTACATGTTTTTTGGACTAAAGTATGAAAGATCGCTTCGAGTGGTCAGAACAAACTAATTAAGACATTCAAAAAGTCGTTTCTATCCACAAGGCATATGGAATGAATTTTGTCTTTTGGACCAATAACAATGTTAACATCCATGCTTGCCTACAAAAATACTTCTTCTGTCCTCCCTCCAGAGAAAAGTCCAAAATTCACTCCATACGGGCATAGCTTAGAAGTGAATTTACAACATGAAACTACATTAGATAAGCATGCAGATATGCATGAATATTATTGGTTTTTAAAAAAAGAGGTCTGTCTTAGGGATACAATCCCAGTTTCTGTTCCACTGTCCTACCCTTGGTTTCCCTCTGGATATGCTTGTGCATGTGATGTCTAAAATCCAAGTATTCTCTTTCAGAAATATGATTCACAGTATTATCTTTTTAGTCATACTGAGAGCTTCTGAAGGTCTTAAAATGCTGTTTTTGTTTCACTAGATCTACCATCTAGGCATGCATGTCATGAAAGAGCAGATTCCTCTCAGCTACTTCCAGCATTGTTACTTTATTGGAGACGCCCCGTGCATTTCATCATTGCTAAATACTCTACAGCTCCACTCTGTTATTGGTGCAATAATGGAGTTTGGCTTTAAAATTAAGCTGTTTAAAAATCAGAGTGGGTTCGGTGGATGATGAAGACACAGAGGTCAGAGACTCCAAACACCTTCCGGTCTTCAGTCAAAATCAAAATCAGATTTATTGGTGAAGATTTTTGTTTCACGTCCTAACAGCTCACTCAAGTATAGATAAACACACTGTAGTGGAAACAAAATGAAAGGTAAAGAAATATTTTGTTCATAATCTGAGCAGACAGCATGTTTTATCATTTTAAACATGTTTCTATCCTAGTAACAGTGATGCAAAAGATGAAATGGTTAAAAGCGCAATGGTAAAACCTTTTGCTTGATACGTAAAGGCAGGGGCTGTGTCTGAACGTCCGCCCTAACCCCTAAATCCATCAATCACTAAATAGAGCAGGGACTATATAGTGGACTTTATATTGAACTTAGGTAACTGACCGTCTGGACAGACGATCACTACTTTTCACTCCCCATTGGTCATGTGAGTCCGCCTGCCCGCACACTGCCTGCACAGTCTTTGTTATTTATTGCCACTGAAACCAATCCCATGATGCTTTGCGATGAGAGCTATCCGGGATATATCTGCTGGTCTACTGACCATGGATCATCACCACTTTTCAAGGTGCATTGTGGGAAATTTCGAGTCCAATACTTTTTCATCCACGAGACATTCAAACACTCATTTAAAATGACGTAAAACACGATATTGTGCCCTATGTAGTGGTTAGGACAAATTTTTCATATCATGCTGATAAAACACAATTTTCTGTCTAAAGTTAATGTTAAAGTTAATCCTACTTGTTGATGTATTCATTTAATAGCAAGTAAAACTTTGCTATTAAATTCAACACCAGTTATATATTGTTTAATACTTAATTAAAAGTAAATTAAAAGGAGCCAAAATGCACTTTAGATGCAAAAATACTGAATACGCTAAAATCAACAATAAATACTGTAAATATATTGAACTGAGCAAAATAAATTATATTAACTGACTAACTGAAAATATACGTTGTTTTATAGGAAGTCAGAATTCTGCTAGAAGTGCACATAATAAAAACTCACACAAGCAGTTTCACTTAGAACACGTGCATTTAGACTTCCCTCCTATGCATTTTGAACATTTTATGCGTGCAGATTTAATATCAGGAGGCTCCTGATTTCAAGCATGAGTGCATGTTAGTTCTCTGCTCGCATATAAAAATGTTTCTGAACAGTCATGACGCTTTTTGTCACCTTGAGGGTGCAATCAACCGTAAAAATATTAACTTTTTTTTTTTTTTTTTTTTACAAAAAAAGCATTGGGCTAACCTAGCAGTAACCTAGCTGTAAGGGGTTCATTAAAATAGGTCTACACTGCAAAAGATTTGAAATATATATAAGTCAATTAATTGTCGATGGAACAAGACAATTTACATTAAAAAAAGAAAAAATAATTGCATTGTCTTATTTCAATTGCATATATATATATATATATAGATATATATATATATATATATCTAATCATCTTATTTTAGAAGAAAAAAAAACATACTCCAATGGCTAATAGTTTCATTTACCTGCTCAAATTAAGAGAAAATACACTTAATTTAAGAATGTTTTACTAATTTCTAGATCGATTTTGCAGTGTAGTCAGACTTCTCGCCTAAAACACCAGTTTCTGGTTCAATCGATACGCTTAGAGAAGAATCTTTGTGCACTTAGGAACAATTCCCCATCTCTACGGAACCGGTTTTGAGAGTCTCTCCATGTATCTTGCTGTGATAAACAGGCCGACCTTCCAGCTCTTCTCATGGCACACCTGTCTGCTGGGGATCCTCAGCTGTCTGGTCATGATGTTCGTCATCAACCCCGTATACTCCTCAGGCAGCATCGTCCTGCTCCTGGTCCTCCTCCTCTTCCTCCACTACAGGTCACCCACCAGCAGCTGGGGTTACATCAGCCAGGCTCTTATTTTCCACCAGGTATCTAAACAGAGCCAGTGCACACCCACAGATAGAGAGTCAGGCTTGCAGCTATGCTGTTTCTGCTTGTTTTCATTTAGGTGCGGAAGTATCTGTTGATGCTGGATGTGAGGAAAGACCACGTGAAGTTCTGGAGGCCCCAGGTCCTGCTGATGGTGTCCAACCCTCGCTCCTCCAGTCAGCTTATTCTGTTTGTGAACCAGCTGAAGAAGGGCGGGCTGTACGTGTTGGGTCATGTGCAGCTGGGAGATCTGGGTAATTCTCCTTACACTTTTTGAAATGATCATGTTGCAAATTGGTCAAATACATTTCTAATTATCTACTTTTTCCAAATGTACGAAGTCAGAATTCTGCCTAAAGGGCGAATGGGTAAAAATACAGATAAGAGTTTTATTTAAAACCCACACCTGCAAACTACTCTATGTAAACAATTCTGTGCGCTTTTCTCCTCTCATGTGTGGACCTGTTTCTTTGCACTCATGTCAACTTTTGCCTGTTTGAGGGTTGAACCATTTGGAAAAGGTAAACTGCTTGTGATTGGCTGCAGTTCAGGAAATCCACCCTCCTCCATCCACTCTTCACTTCCTGGTCGCAGCTAATAACGCCAGCAAAGCATCTTCAGGCTAATAGCTGTTCTTTTAGGGTTTTAATCTAACTTTTTAATTTAGAATTATATTGTTATTTCATATCCAGCAGACCGTCTCTGTCATCAAGTGACAATTTTATAAAGGCAATGATGGGCACTAAAAGAAAAATGCATAAAGTTTGATACAGACTTACTGTAAATGAAAATGTTTGTGTTAAACTTTAAATGTGTTTTTATTTAAGCCTCACTCTCTTCAATGTAAACAGTGAAGCTAAGGTTAACATAATTATCAAAAGCTTTTCAATCTACTAGTGAAAAGGGTGTGAATTAGTAGTGATGGAGCATTTATTGTTGGATATAAAAAATAATAAAACAAATGAAAAAGAGGGAAATGCTGGAATTATGAGAAATCATCTTAATATGAGGAGAAGAACATGAATTGAAGATTTTCATCCCTGATGCTGTATAAAAGCTGAACATCATTCTGTGCTGCTTGGTTATTCTTTGAGAGCTCTGGATTGGCACTTTTAAATCAAGTCATACAGAATGGTCCCTCAGACGGCCTAGAGGGGTTCAATCCTTCTCACCTTTTAAATCCTTTAGCCACTTTCCTGTCTGATGTATCCAGGTGTTCAGAATTAAATTTTATCATTATCTTTTGGATAAATGCTAAAGAGTATTAATCTGGCCTAATTAGTATGATTGCCTTTTCCTTTTCTTTTTTCCTGTTTCGTTGCCTTGTTGGTCTTTAACCTAATATCTGCTCTGAATTTGTACAGTAGAGGTTTGTGGTTGTTTAGTTACGAAAACGGGTGGAGTGGTCATGTGCTGGAAGTGAGTCAGCAGGTTATTTTTTTCATCATTCATTCTAAGGGCAACAGAACCGGTTTAGCAAGATCTAATGAGGCTGGAAAGGTCTGGTGCAATCGGCAACAGCCTCCTGTTGACTTTGCCCTTTCCTATGCACTGCTGTTTGCATGGTAAATAATAATACAAGTTTTCTCTGAAGCCCAGCGCCATAGAACTCAGAGCAGTCGTGAGCCATCCCTGATTTCAGCCTAAATTCATTTTATTTTTCTCCATGTTGCAGGCCATTTTAATTCAACTTTAGGGACTATGGTCTTTTATTGTTTTGTTTTTCATTTTCTATTTGATTTCCCAGGGTTCATCATGTGCCCCCTAGTGGTGTAAATGATACATCCATCCATTTTCTGTCATGCTTTATCCCTGCTGGGGTCACCAGGGGTGCCGGTGTTTATTTCCAGCTGTTGCGGGCGAGAGGCGGGGTACACCCTGGACAGGTCACCAGTCCATCGCAGGGCAACACAGAGACAAACAGCCATTCATGCACACTCACACCTAAGGAGAATTAGAGAAGCCAATTAACCTAACTGTCATGTTTTTGGACTGTGGGAGGAAGTCGGAGTACCCGGAGAGAACCCAAATATGCTCAGGGAGAACATGCAAACTCTATGTGGAAAGACCCCGGGCCGAGAATCGAACCCAGAACCTTCTTGCTGCAAGGCAGCAGTGCTACCCACTGTGGTCCACTGAGCAGCCTAAATTATATATTACAATCTATTTGCTGTCAAATCTGAGCAATCTACCTAAAAATTAATGGTGGGACTCGATGGAATTATGTAATTGAGTTGATTATAGGGTGTGTAATTAATTAAACACAGTTATATAGTGATAATAGACAACATTTTCATTTCAAAATTTTGATCCTATATTATTGAATAAATAAACATAAAAAAGGAAAAAGCAAGGTGGTAACATTACAACACTTAAATAAATTCCTTTAAAGCTGTTTTTATCAATTCAACTGATGGAATAAGGTTTCATCTAATAAACCATTAATCAACAATAATTGTAAGTTGAATATTTTTTTACATCTCTAATGACAGCATATTTTTTTAAATAAATGTGTGTGTTTCAGACTCCCTGCCATCAGACCCTCTGCAGGCCCAATACAACTTTTGGCTGAGTCTGGTTGATAAACTTGGGGTGAAGGCCTTTGTAGATCTAACTCTGTCTCCCTCAGTCAGGCAAGGAACACAGCATCTGCTGCGCATCACAGGACTTGGTAAACTTTCTTCCGCCTCCACTTGACAGATTGTTATGGAATGAACTTTGTTCCATTATTATTGCTAGCAAAGGACATGATTTGTATATGTACATTTAGAAAAAACATCCATCCATCCATCCATCCATCCATCCATCCATCCATCCATCCATCCATCCATCCATCCATCCATCCATCCATCCATCCATCTTCCACTCATTCCGTCAGGGCAGGGCTGGGGCCCTGATAGCCTGCCATTCAGAAAAGAAACTCTTAAAAACATATTAATCTAAACCGATTTTAAGAGGACCTTTTCAGTTTTCTTAGATTTAATTTTTTTCAAATGTTTGAATTTTTTAAATCAAACTTTGTATTTTTTTTTTTTTACAGTTCCTATTTTTTAGATTTAGTTTGGAGAATTGCATTCCTTTCAAAGTGAAGCGCACATTGACCGATAATGTAGAAGATATGGCTTCCCTCCTCAGTCAAGAGGAAAGTCCGTGTCCAGAAGTGAACAGAATGTGATCTGTAAAAAGTAATTTGATATGAATGCAATTCATAAAAATCATATTTTTTATGTGGAAAAATTAAAGTTAAAAAAGAGGAAACGTAAGAGTTACTTAATTTTTTATTTTTTTTTTTAAATAAGACATTTTTCTGTTTCATTTTTGGATTGCATTTTTTTTTATTTACAAATTGTGTTCTTTTCTTGTAGCACTAATGAAAAAAGATTCACTCTAGATTTACTGTCTTATTTGCACACACGGAGTCTGATTTAGTGTTTTTTCTCTCCAAGGTGGCATGAAGCCCAACACACTGATTTTAGGTTTCTACGACAGCTGCACTCCTGATGATTTCTTCCTGCAGGATTCTGCCTTCTGTCGCTCATCTGTGGGAGAAGGCAGCGAGTCGGAGTTCAATTTTGGGGTCGACCTGCCTTCGCTGCAGGCCCATTTCCCTCCTGTCCGGCATGTTGAGAGCACCCGGTGGCTGCTGCCCGAGGAGTATGTTGGCATAATTTCTGATGCCATTAAAATGAATAAAAACGTATGCCTCGGCAGATACTTCTTCCAGCTGCGGGGAGAAGATAAAGACAGCAAAGTGGACGGATCTGAGCGGATAATAGATGTGTGGCCTCTCAACCTGCTCCAGCCAGGTTGCCAGGACTACCAGGATGTGTGCAGCCTGTTCCTGCTGCAGATGGCCTGTGTGCTCAACATGTCCAGCAAATGGCGTCACGCGAGGATGAGGATCTTCCTAAACGTGGAGACTGGCTCCTGTGACCAGGGCTGGGTGGTCAACGAAGAGACGTTTCGGGAGCTGCTGAGGAAGCTGAGGATCAGGGCTTCCATAAAGATTGTGTCGTGGGACTCTGTGGTGCAGCACTACGCCTTGCCAGAGGGGGAGCGTTGGGGAGAGCACGCTCCGGGGTTATCTGAGGACTTCTTGTCTGCAGTAAATTGCATGCTGATGGAGCACAGCTCTCAGGCTGCTGTTCGCTTCCTGTATTTACCTCGGCCCCCTGCTGGCCGCAACCAGTCACAGCACTACTTGGCTGAGCTTGAAGCGGTGACCAACGGTTTAGGGCCTACACTGTTGATTCATGGGGTCACCCCTGTCACATACACCGATCTCTAAGCTGGTTTTGTCTCTTTAATAATGTAAATATCACAAATTTATTTCTTTGTTGAAGTAAATCTAAGAGGTTCCAGTTCAGCATCGAATATTATTTAAGAATACTGTTCTGCAGTATTTGTTTGTGTTAACAGCTGGATTATTTTCTCAGAAACGGTCCAGATTCAGGCACAGCTTGAAGTGTAACAGGAAACATTCCTTTTTTATAAACTTGAAATGGCTCTGATAGCCCCAGAAAAAGGCTTCAATAAAACAGTTGCAGTAATTGTAATTCTCCTAAGAACCAACAAGGGAAATAAAAAACCTTAAAAGATGAGTTATAAACAAGCCTTTTTTTTTTGTAAAGCTGCATCCTTCCCTCCATGACGAAGTTTTCATTTCATACCTCAAATGTTTTATGTTCCATCTTTCAATTTTCCTGTTATTTAATGGAAATACCACAGTTGCAAAACTTTGTATTTTTTTTTATTTAGCAGAATAATAGCATTATTTTCGCCAATTTGTAAAGGAAACAAAGCCATTGGCAGTTGTTTATGCAACTATGTGAAAGGTTGGATATAAAGAAAAAAACAAAATGTATAGATGAACAAGTAGATATGAAGCTAAAAAAGAAATGATGAAAAATAAATAAATGAATGAATTGTATATGCTGAGCAAGATTTTTCACAGTCCATCAAGCGGTCACTGTACTGGGCCACAACTGGTAGTGGAAGTCATTCAGCCTTCCCAGGTGTAGCAGAACTGGTTGCCATGTAGAGTGTATTTTTTGTGTAGCCTCTTGTGACATGGAGGATCTTTTCTAAGGTAAGAGTTGAGAATATGATGACATGATGGGTTCAACATGACCGCTGAAATGAGCACCAAGTGGAGCGATGCCAAAGAAACGGCCAAAGGTTATATAGATATGGAGAAACTATCACAGAGAAACTTAATATTGATTGAGTGGTTAGTCAATCCTACACTACAGGCGTGCATAGAATGTGCCACTTGCACAATTCAATAGCCATGTGTGCAGCGTGAATCTGACACCCCGCTTAGTGAAAAAAACCCAGCAAATAGACTGAATGATTAGGGATTCATCAATGCAGGTTTATACTGTTAAAGTTATTATATCAGTTTATTTCAGAGATATTAAATATAGCTGTGCTTGTTATATCTCATTCTGTCATCTTTGTAACTGTTCGTTAATACTGAAGGAAGCTAACCGACCAATAAGACACAAAACCAGGATGATCTGTAAATTAATAAAAATTTATAATATGTCTGTATTTATGTGTATTTTGTTTGCTTTGTATAAAAGTGAAATGTTATCATCAATATAAAAAATAAACTATTTCTTCTTTGCACTGCTCCACTCCTTTTCCTCAGATTCTGCTCTCTGATAGGTCCTTATATTCGGAACGTTTCTTAACACCCTAACGAAGAATGTGGACATCCGGAGCCAGTCTGGCAGCAGGAGCGAGAGAGCCGCACTCTGTAGGATGTTGGAAAAAACAGAGAAACGTGAAGGTGAAGCAGCTGAAGGTGTGAAAGGCTTTGAAACGAGTCCCGGCTGATCACTGCTCTACTCTGACCTGCAGGGCGTGGGACAGACAGCCGCTGGTGTAGCTGGAGTGACCTATGGTGTTCACTGCCTTGTAGGTAAACCCTGCTGCGCTTTTCACCAAACAGTTGACCTGCATGTTCTGTGTCATGTTGGTGGAAACCATGAGGGGGGCCACACACTGAGGAGACAGAAGCCCTGATGTTAGGTTACAGGAAACAGGAAGGGACAATATTAACTCAATAGGATGCACGTCTCTTCAGTTTATCATAATAATCAAGGAAAAAACAAAGAACCTGATGAAATTGTAAAAAAGACAAAATATTGAAGTTTTACAGCAGTTATTTCCTCTTCCTGCTGAGAACTGTTCTTATCAGCACTGCTGCAGAAAGTCTAAAATATCCAAAATACTGTATCTCAACTATAGGGTACAAAAAAAATGTAACCAAAAAAGGAAACTTCAAACAACGTCCTTAAAACAAGTGATTTTAAGAGTAACTTTGCTGTTTTCTAAGATGTTATAAAGTTTTATTAAATTAATAAATAGATAAATAAATGCTTGGTATTTTACATTTTCTAATTATATTTTCAGATTTCTTTTTTTCAGATCGAGCTTTTTTACAGCTTGCATTTGTTTTCAAACAGGGTTTTGCAAATGAAATTCTGAGGAGTGAAAACACATTTTTATTGGTCTGCATGGATATAAGCAATAACATTTATATTGGATTTAAACCGAGAAACAGTAAAAGGGAATTTTTAAAGAAAACATTATCTGAATCTGAAATATCTGAAAATATGAAATCTGTAAAAAAAAAAAAAAATTAAAAATAAAGTAAAAAAAAATTATTTGAAAAAAAAAATTAAATATAAGAAAACATCAAAGTTATTCACAAAATGTTTATTAGATTATGACCTGGATGAAGTCATAATCTAAGCATTAGATTATGTAATTTTTCATACTTTCATTTTTGGGTTTTATTTTTCTTTATTTCCATTAACATTTCTTTTTTTCAAATTTTCAAAATTAACAGAAATAAATGCTTTAAATACACAAGTTATCTTTATGATATTGCTAATTAGCTCAGGCTAAAACTGCTGAGTCCCTGTTGAAACCAAGTCCATAGTCCTAAACTGATAAATAAGCCAGGAGTTTAAATAGTTAATGTCGAAATTTCACTAGTCATACAGATTTAAATAAATTATTGTGCTTGTTGATCATTTTGTATTCAATAGAGATGTATCTGACCTAACATCACATGTGTTTTCCTGTAAAGACATTTTGATTATATTCTAACTGTAGTGAGCTGTCTCTAATAGTGCTAATTTGGCTGCACAGACCTTTAAAATGAGCAATTTAAGGGTTTTTAAACAGAATTAGTTTACATTTTTCAGCATTTTTTTACATAAATTTTTTTTCCACTCATTAGCAAAACCATCTCTGCTGCAAAGAGTATCCTCATCAAATCTCCTCACTTATTTATTGTTTTTTTCTTTCCATAGAAGAATTTTTTAGAGAAGTATATGGTATAATTTAAAAAAAAGGCAACAAAAAGATTTTTTTGAAAATTTTTGATATGCATCTCATTTTTTCAGATATGATGTGAGTTAATAAAAGATAGAAAAAGAGCAATTTTTTCTATCTATTGCAATTTCATAAATCATATAATGATAGAAAACTGTAAAAAAAAAAACATAGTTTAAATTCCAGAATCAGAATCAGACATACTTTAATAATCCCTTTTGAAATCACTTTTGTTAAACGCTCCAGATATACAAACATTTATATATATATATACAACAAACCACACAAGTTAATATAAATATAAATATATAACCATGTAACTCACATATATATATACATATATATATATATATGTATATATATATGTATATATACATGTTTATATATATATATATGTATATATATACGTATATATACATGTATATATATATATACAACAAACCACACAAGTTAATATAAATATATAACCATGTAACTCACATATATATATATATATATATATATATATATATATATATATATATATATATATATATATATATATATATATATATATATATATATATATATATATATATATCTGCAGTTTGTACACAAAATCAAATGCATTATATAAAACAATAATTTAACCAATTATCTACAACGTATTTCAGTTGTTGATATATCTTGACAATGACATAAACACAGTAAAATCTTACCTGGACAGTGATTCCCATTGACTTGTACTCAGCATGCAAACACTGGGAGAAATATGTCACAAAAATCTGCACATAAGTATAGAAAAAAGTAAATGTAGGTGATCGGGTGAGCCTGTTTGGATATTTATTGTTTTAATATAAACACCAGATACATACCTTAGTGGCCGAATAAAGAGCAAGCAATGGGTGTGGACGGACGCCCGCTTCGGAGGAGATATTAATAATTAATCCTTTGCCTCTGGGGATGAGATGAAACCCAAATGTCTTTAAGCTAACCTATTTACCCTGTCATCACAATTAGCTGCAGATAATGATGTATCTGTGGATACCTGTCCACCATCCCAGGAAGAACCAGCCTGCTCATCTGCATTGTGACATCATGTTCATCTCTTTATAAATATTACAAGCAAATAAAGATATAAAAAACATTTTGGATGGTTTGTTTTCTAAGTTAACTCACCTGGGGTACAGACAGCATGTTGCAGTTGATGATCTGAGTTATTTTCTGTCCAAAAATAAATAGAAATATCCTTTATTGTCCCACAGTGTGGGAATTTGAGTGTGCCAGTGGTAAAGCAGAAAGAAAACATAAAAATAAAACAGATTCATGCATCCCTTAAAATCTATTCAAAATGGCAATCAAAGGCGAAAAATAAAAAAACCATAAAATGGCATCCATGACAATGGTTAAAAGACAATAGAACTGACAGTTTAAAGAAAAACTTTATATATTTAAAATAACAGTAAGAATGTAAACACTGATCAAATATTTTTCTTTGCAAATGGCGTCATAGATCTAAACAGTTGTTTAGCAGGGTAAGAATTGTAATCACCACATAACAGCCTCAGTTTGAGCCATGCAGTGTTTTGGGCCTTAAACAGGGACACTTTAAATAGATCACCTGTTCAGCATCTGGTGTTTCCAGAAAATAAGCAAAATGATCCGTGCAGGTCATTCCAACGTTGTTGACTGTGGGATTTAAGATTCATAAGCTCTTGTTAATAAATATAATCTGTCACTTAAACTATAAAATAACAGCCAGCAATCATCTACTAAACACTTAAACAACTTGGTTGCTTTCTGGTCTGGAGGGTAAAAAAAATGTTAATTAGTTTTCTTTTGTTGTAGAAGAACCCATAAGCGATCAGAGTGACACTTTGTTGGGAAAAATCTCTCCACCAGCCAGCCACTGTCAAACAACAACAAAAATGAGCTTAAATGAAAGAAAACTAGCAAGTTTATTTTGAAACTGTAAGGACTAGAAAGAGGGGATAATTGCAAAAAAAATTTAAGAAGTAAAAAGTTGTCTAAAAAAAAAAACACTCCAGTAAAGTATCTATAGCACTCCTTGAGGGCTGCATGGGAGGAGGACCTGGGCTTACAGTTTGGGAGTGAGGTCTAGGATGATTTGGTCATCCTCTATCAATGTGAAGCACCAGTTAATTCAGTTGAAGGTATTGCTTAGACTCTACTATTCGAAAACGAAATTGCACAGAATATTTCCCTTAATATCCTAAAAATGTGATAGGTGTAAGTCCGCTAATGGCTCCTTGACACATC